ATGCCATCTCAAAGCTTCCATTAATAGCATTTTTCAGTAAATAAGCATTTGCCTACTCTTGCAAAGCTATCTCAGCAGGCTATAACAGTAGCAAAACCTTCTGTGTGAACCTAAGTACTAAAATATTTTTGCAATTAAAATTTTTATATGGGTCATATGAAAGAAGTGAAACTGAAAATAAACGTGGAGGGAATGCTAGAAGCCTGCAAAGACATCAGCGCTGAAGAGTCTGAGGCGCTTCTTAAGTTTGACACGCCAAAAAGCCATGTGGTCATACTAGACCGCATGTTTAAAGACAACTTGGAAATAGAGGGAGGCCCTGACAGCAACGAAGAAAAAGAGAATATTTTGTACATATTTAAGAAGAGGCTCTTTCAATACTTTACATACAACCTATACGGGCATGCGGTTATGGAGATGCTATACGCTGCACTGAGGGCTAAAAAAGATGTGCTAATTGAAGTTCGGCTTGCCGCCTTGATTGGCGACATTATAAGCTCAAACTCTCTTATATACAGCCCTGGAAACGGGATATATATGCCAAGTGGCAAGAACGAGCCTGCAGAGGGTATATTGCGCCCTGATAACAGTCTTGATTTGCGCTCTAGGACATACACACTGGAGATTGACACTGCAAAGATTTCGAAGATGGAGGGCTTTCTCTGCTACAAGTCGGAGATCCTGAATAGAGACTTTTTTGAGTACATTGCTAAAACGCTGGATATAAGAGGCATGGATATAGGCAAGTTTGGAAAATATCTGCCAGAAGAAACATGCCACCCGCTGGATGAGCTGTACGCCACCCCGTACGAAAACAGCAGCATGCCTTTGGTGGACTACGGCCTCACCCTTATCCACGAAAAATATTACGAGATCAAAGACATACTTGAGAAAATAAAAATAAGAGAGCTGAATAATGACAACAGCGATTCAGAGGAGATATCCGGACAGATTAACGAGCTGTTTCCCTTCGAGGAGGACTTGAAAATAGTTTTTTCCATTGGCAAGCATCTGCAAAAAATAATCCATGAAAAGGCAGTATCCAACGGGATGCTCAGCGCGATGGAATACATGGCACATAGCACTGACCTCTTGGACAAGAAAAAGAAGCTGACAATAACTGCTGACTTAAGCGATTTTGTTAGAGACTACATAACTGGGAGAGAAGGCTTAGAGGAGAAGGTGCATGAAAGAAAAATAAAAGTGGACAGGAAGATCCAGACTCTGCACGCCTTGGAAAATATGAAAAAAGAACACAGCCGGACAGAAAAAGGAGAAAACAGAGAAGAGGTGATCAAAAAGCTAGACTCTGTTATCGACAGCCTGGAAACGGAAATATGCACACTGCTGTATAACAGAAGAAAAGAGTACTTGCAGATCAATAACATTCGCAATATTTCAAACTACCTATCTGGCATAAGCCCTGTGCAGCAAGAAGGCATACTCAGAAAGATGGAGGCGTTTGGAAAAACGCAGGGCATAGAAGTGGCAAGAGTGAAAAAACTCCTCTCAATAAAACTCACGCGCACAAACCTAGTTATAGTATTCATACTGTTCTGCGGCATGCTTATGCTGCTGTCAACAGTAGGCTCTAATCTAATGAGCGGAATAAAGTCTAACAGCTCTAACTAGCTGTTGAACCATAAAACACTACAAGATGAACCATAAACTACAGCTGAAGGCTAAAGTGCGAGGTCTTAAGATACATACAAAATAAACTGCGCCTAATCTTATGAGTATACTTCTGCTTTTTCTCGGGTTATTATGTTAAATACTGCTGCTATTCTCGGGCTATTCTCTAAAAGGCCTGCCTTCCTAGCCTTTGCTACAACATCTTACTATCTTTATCCACCTATGCCTACACTTTTTCTTTTAAAAGCAACTGCTAACAAAAGTAAAACTAAAAGTAAAATAAAAGTAAATTTCTACCTACTAGCTACTATACGCCTAGTATTTATTTTATTTTATTTTTCCATTTTATTTCATTTCAAATAAAAATAATCAATACAGTAGAACGACTGTCAACTAGCATATTTACGCGTGCTGCAACATCAAGCCGTTGATATACTAACTATTCTAAATATTTATAGTCTCTCTGCATGATCCATAAAAGTAAAAAACATCGTCGCATTGCTCCAACCAGGCTCTATTTATTTCTCTGAGGTAGCACTTTTCGGTTGTACAGCGAGATTAACACGTCAAGAACCTCGTTGTGTGTGCCTAGATTCGACTTGCTCTCGTTCACATTGCGGAACACTATGAAGTCTGTCTGCTGCTCTGGCCTTTCAGATACTGCCTCACACATCTCTCTGTGCAAGAGCTCTAGGTTTCTTTTTGCTCTGCACTGCGTGATATACTCTGTTTTCAGCTCGCTTCGCATTTTTGGCCTCTCGCTGCATTTATCTAGCGTTTTTAAATCTACTATCGCTTTCTCGGCTTTTTCAAGCATTTCCTCAGACTTTCTTATGTTTGCCTCAATTTTTACCTTATACTTCAAAGGATTCCATCTGCTCCTTCCAAGCCCGATCTGCCAGATGTGCATTTTTCTCGCCTGGCTGTCATGGCCGCTGCCTGCTGCATTTTCATTCCGCAGCCAAATGCCCTGCAGCTCGCTGTCTTTTTTGTGCTCCCTTGACTCCAGTGCCTCAACGAAACTATTGAACTTTTCTGCGTTTTCTTTTTCTTTGAAAGCGCTGTCCAGCACACAGTGCATGTACTCGTCCACGCCCACAGGCATTCGCACATACCACACGGCTTTAACTGTGCCGTCCTCTCTCGCAGCAGTTCTGCAGTCCATGACGTAGCAGTCTGCGCTCTTTTTCCTCTCTTTGTCCGGCACTATGTAAAAGTTGCTGTAGTACATGTGCAAATCGGAGAACTCGCTTCCCCGATAGTTGCCGTTGTACTTGTACTTGTCAGTCACTCTGTTCTCAAACCTCATTGAGTCTGTCTCCGTATGCTCTCCCTTCTTTTTGAAGGGCCCAAGCTCCGCCGCAGACTGCATCATGGGCGTGAGGAAGAGCGGTATGCAGATCCTGTCCTGCCCATGCGGGTACAGAGGCTTAAACTCTGCGAATGTAAACCTTGTCTTTGCCAGGTCCTCCGCAATGCGATAGAACACCACCTCATGGCCTGCTAAGTCTTTTATTGTCTTTTTTCTGTCTTTTTTCTTGACGTATGACCATTCTTTCGTGTCCTTTCTTACTTTAAATGCGTGTGTGTGGTTCGACTCTTCATTTGCACCGTACAGCACCTTTATGTACTTTACCACCTCGTCAATTGTGTGCACATAGTGCTCTTTCCCGTGCTTGTCTACGTACATGGGCATGCACAGTGTCCTGATCTGGTGTGTCGCATTGTCCACATAGTACACGTGGTAGTGCGCGTGCACAAAAGGCGAAATGCTCCACCTATTCATCTCTAATGAATATGTAGGCACTGGAGGCTTTGTATCTGGCCTATCCTGGGCTATGCTCACCACTTTCTCAAACTTTATGTACTTCTGGTTTTTTATCACGCACTTCCCTGAGAGAACGTACTCTTTTTCTGCACTAATCACCTCTGCTTTCTCGTAGAACTTTGCAAGAACTGCATACAGGTATCTGTACAAGTCAACAGCCACCAGGCCATCCAGGGACCTCTCTCCGCCGCACGGCCTTTCAAGATAGCTATAAATTGATACATACAGCCTGTGATCTGTTTTTTCCTCCGTGCGGAGATGTAATACCCTTTGCATTCTCAGCAGCACCTCTTGATAGCTTTTGTTTACACTTGGCTTGTCGGAAAGGTCCGTTTCTTTTATAAGGCTTTCACTGATGTTGGAAAAGTCCTGGTGCACTTCAGGCAGCGCTAGAATCATGTGCACTGCATGCACGAGTGGATGGTACTTCTTTTCAAGCTGGTTGACGACATTCAAACCCTCCAGCATAGAGTAGTTTAGCGCATAGTATTTTCGTATGTAGAAATCTCCCAGTGTCTCCTCCCACGTGTTTCTGTACTCGTCTTTCTTCACTCTCAGCGGCTGGTACTTTTCTATGTACGCTATCATGTCGTCAATTATGTTCGGGCGGTACCCCTCAATGCTCTTTACCATTTTTGTGTGAGGGCTCTCCTCGTTCTTGAGAAGCTCCTGCACCCCCAGTAGATCCCTGTACTTAGTGTTTATATACGTTGATTTGCTTGCAATGAAGTACCACATCGGGTTAAGTTTTATCAGAGGCACAATTTTTGTGACAAAGTCCTCAATGCTCTTTCCAAGGCTTGTCTTGTATGATCTTGTTTGTATTCTCCATTTCTTGTATCCGTTGAGGTTGTCGCGTGTATAGACTGTCTTGTGGTTCTCTTTGTGGCACTTTCTCCTTCTGTTCCCCAGCCTTAGTTCCATGTCATTCCATAGATTGATGTTAAGACGGTCTATGTTTTTCCCGCTTCTTCTTTCCACTACGCGCTGCGTTGTTTGGTATCTCTGAACAGGCTGCTGCTCTTCATTCTCTGACAAAGTCTCAATGGCATCCTCGCTTAGCTGTTCGATATCATCTTCTTTTGGCGCATCATCTGTCTTTTGTCTTTTATTCGCTGGCATAACTTCGTGAGAGGGCGGGCTTACTGGACTGTTTATTTCACGCTCTTTTCTTTTTTCTCCTATAGACAGCCTATCAGCCTTCATGGAGTATTCAGAGGTGTGCTTGATCACACTCGGTCTCTCTTTGCACTGCCCAGATTCATCAGGCTTCTGCACCGCTCTTCTTGTTGTGCCAGCACAGCTTTCATTATGGGCTGAGCTATTACCTGAGGTGCTTGGCACAGTATAGACGTGACCTAGGTACTCTATGTCACTGCTTTCGTCGCTTTCGCTTCTAGAAAGACCAATTACACTACTGTCTTGCCAATTGTAAGCTGCACTGCTTCCCCTGCACTGTGCAAGGAAAAGAGCAAGGCCTGCACCTGCCAACATTTTCGTCAGTTTCCTGTTTTTCATTTACCTAAAAAATTATTTTTGCTACTTATAGGGTCTAGCCAAGCAAGAGCTTTTTTAGCATGTGCATTATTGCTACGCTGCTCTTGCATTCGCCATACATCACAACACTGAGTTTATATCGTACAAAAATATGCACTGAGTTTACATCGTACAATAACGAAATGAATAGTGTCCACTGAGCTGTCTTATGCGAAACAGCAAAAAATGCTTGGCATTTCACTGAGCGGGAGACTCTTTGAAAAGTCTGCATTGAGTGCTATTAGTATGCGCTTGCGTGTATTTACTTAATCACTGGACAGGCGCAACCAATAGATGTCTAGATTAACGCACGGTAAATACAACAGCTAATAATAAGTGTTTGATAAGACAATTGGACACTCTCATAAACTGTGCCAATAAGCTGCGATAGGAGCACCAACCATCGCACAGCACTCATGCATTTATACTTTTGTAATTAAAAGTTTTGTAGCAATCACATGAAAGAAGTCAAATTCAAGATAGATGCAAGCAAAATAGTGCAAGCATGCCATTCTATCACAAACTCTAGTTTAGACACCAGAGCAAATACTCCGATAGTTCACATGGCCATACTAGAGCATATACTCAGCAAGAGTCTAGAAATAGAGAGCAGCCAGTATAGCGATAAAGAAAGGAGAACTATCTTAAAGATAATCAAGAATAGGATGTACGAGTACTTTTTGTACAACAGAAATGTAGCAGGCATTGTGCGTAGTTTGCACTGCGCATTGAATAGGAGAGACAGCGGGTCTATTAAAAGCAAGACCATTCTTCTAATCAACGAAGTCATAGCACCAAACACGTTTATATACAGCCCAGAGCATGGAATTCGCAGACGGGTTGGCAGAAATGAAAAGCTGGATAGCATAGACCCAGACGATAGCAGCGCTGACCTAAGCGCTAGAATATGCACCCTAGAAATTGATGCTGCAGGCTTTTCCGGCCTAGAGGGCATCCTCCAGCTTACCTCAGAGAGTCTGGACAGAGAGAGCCTTTTGTATACTGCTTGCTTAATGTACTCGATAGGCACGCATAAACTAAAAAAGATCATGCACATAGAGGAATGCTACACTCTCAGCGATTTATACACTCTAAATAAAGACACTGGCGTGCCACTAGTAGACTACGGGCTGAGGCTTCTTTTTAAGAAATACTATGCTCTTGAAGACTTGGCCAGGAAGATCAAAGCAATGGGGAGAGCTCCTAGCAGCACCCCACAGATAGCTGAACAAATCAGCGAGGTATTTAGCCCTGAGGACCTGAAAATAATCATCTCTATCAAGAATAATCTAGAAAACATCAAATACGAGAAAAGGCTGCAGAACTGCATGGCCAAAACACTGGAATACATGCAAAATAGCACAAATCTCTTGGAGGGAGTAGATGGATCAAAAACGCTAAGGATAAAATTAAGCTTGAGTGATTTTTATGCAAAGTATGTGGCCAGCACAAAATTAGAAAAGCTGATACAGACGAAAAGAGGCAAATTGCACAAAGAGATAGAAACAAAGACTCAGGCTTTACGTGAAGAAAAGGCACAGTACAAAGCAGTGAGAGCAGATTTGCAAGACCCAATAGACAAGCCCCGCCTTCACTCTGAGAGCTACAGCCAAACACAAGAAGAAAAGAGCAAAGAGACAGAAAACAAAAGATGCGCTATCAACAAGATGCAAAATGAAATATATTTGCTGAAATGCGCGAGCAAAAAAGAAAACATGCAGTCCAATAACATTCGCGTTCTTCTGCGCACCCTGCGCTTTTTACCCACAATGGATCCAAGCCAGAAAATACACGTGTTCAATAAGATAGAAGAGTTTGGAAGAGCACACGATATAGAGATAAAAGCAGTGCGGTACGCCTTCGCAACAAAACACACGCGAGCACAGATATTTAGAATCTTCATCATATCTTTCACTATTTACATAATAGTAGCATCGATATTGCTGTGGATTAGATTCAAAAAATAAATAAAACCTGCTCATACCAAATCAGCTATTGCCCATGCAAAAGCATCCTAGCATGCAATACAGCATGCTAAGAAACACTAAGGAGCTGTGCCATCTTGAGAGTCTTTTTACAGCCAGTTATTATCCAAATAAAGTGCGCTCAAGTTTAAATATAGCAATTGCTATATTGGTACTTGTTTTTGGATGTTTTTGAGGCATGCTCTTGCACAGATGTCTGTCCATTCTGCCTGTGCTTACGGCAACTCTGTCACCATATTTATTTAAGGGCATCTTTGTTTTCCTTTCACTATTTTAGTTACTGGCGGTGCAAATAAAAATAAAAGTAAAGCTCTACCTATTCACATACACTTAATATTTATTTTATTTTTTTATTTCATTTCATTTTGTTCTAAACATATCCTCTATGGCACACCTACACACCAAATAGTTTGTACATGCCTGCACAAGCGAAGACATTTTAACAAGTCAACAAGTGTCTATTCCTTGACATACGAAGAGAGGCCTAAATGAAACTAGAAAGCTGCTACTCCACTGGCTGTTCTATCCATTCGCTTGCTACCGTTAAAATTACTAGCAGAAGGAAGCAATAACACACTGTAGCTTAGCCAAACTCTATTTATTCTCCAACCCCTCTTACTTATTATAGGTCGAGATCAAAACATCAAGAATCTCGTTGTGCGCGCCCAGATTGGACTTGCTCTCGTTCACATTGCGAAACACGATGAGCTCTGTCTGCTCGTTAGGTCTTTCAGATATTACTGCTTCAAAAAGCTCTTTGTCAAAGGCTTTTTGTTTGCTCTTTCCTTTCCCTTTTGCGGTATCATTTATGCTTTTTTTAACGGCCATCTTCACCTTTTTACCGTCTTTTTCTACTGCTTCTAAGTCTGTTTCTTTTTCTTTTGTATTTTCTGCCTTCATCTTAATTGCGTCTAGATACTTTTTAGTCTCTTGCTTATTCTCATCGATGTTCACCACCCAAGCATACACTCTTTCTGTCTGGCCTTCTGGCGCGCTGTCTGCTATATCTCTATTTTTCAGCCATATGCCATGCAGCTTGCTGTCTTTGTTGTACTTCCTTGACTCTAGCACATCAATAAAACCACTGAGCTCTTTTGAGTCTGCTTTTTCCTTGAAAGCGCCATCTAGCAGACAGTGTGTATACGCATTTGCACCGTCCGTCACATTCACGTACCACACAGCTTTGGTGGGGTTGTCTGCCTGCGAAACAATCTGGTAGTCCATGGCATAGCAGTCAAAAGTCCGCTGCTTTTCCGTGTTTAAGAGGATATGCAGATTGCTGTAGTACGCGTATGTGTCTGAGTATTCATCGCCAGTATACTTCTGGCTGTATATGTACACGTCAGGCACTCTATCTACGAACTCCATCGATTCTATCTCTGCGTGCTCTCTTTTCTTGCTAAAAGGCCCCAGCTCCACAGCAGAGCGCATCAGAGGAGTAAGGAACAGCGGTATGGAAATAGCATCCTCTTCTTGAGGACACAGCGGCCAAAACTCTGCAAAAGTGCACCTTGCCATTTCTGCGCGCTCCTCAATGCGATAGAAGACCACCTCGTACCCTGCCAGATCTTTCACTGTTTTGCCTCTCTCCGCTTCGTTAATGTACGTCCACTTTCTGGTGCCTTTTTTCACTTTGAAAGGATGTACACCATCCAAATGCCCATTTACCCCATACAGCACTTTTATATGGCTTATCATCTCGTCAATTGTGTGCAGATAGTGCTCTGTTCCGCTCTCGTCTACATGTACGGGCATGCACAGCATTCTGGAGCGATGTGCTGTGTTGTCCACATAGTAAATGTGATAGTGCAGTTTTACATCAGGCGAAATATCCCACTTGTTCATCTCAAACAAGTATGCATGCCTGCAGACGTCTTTAAAAGAGCTGTCCGATACTGGCCCTAGGATTGTCTCGCATCTAATATACTTCTGGTGCTTTATAGCGCACTTGCCCAGCAAAATATACTGTTTCTCGTCAAAGACTTTTGCCTTCTCGTAGAACTCTGCAAGGATTATGTACACGCCCCTGTACAGCTCAGACACAGTTGGCTCGCTCTGTGTATTTTTCCTGTACATGCTCTCCAGAGCGCTTTGTATATTTTCGTATGCGTTTTCTGTTTTTTTATTATTTTCTTCTGCCTCCTTTGCCAGTGTGCATATGGCCAATAGGACCTTCTGAGACTCTGCATTTATGGATGGATCCTGTGAGATGTTGGTGTCTTTTACAAGCTTTTCGCTGATGGTGGAAAAGTCCTGGTGCACCTCAGGCAGTGCTAGAATCATGCGCATAGCATAGACCAACGGAGAGAGCCTCCCCTCTGTCGGGCTGAGTCTGTTCTGGTACAGGATTATAGAGTAGTTCAGCTCGAGGCCTTTTCGGACATATGCATCCCCCAAGGTTTCATTCCACACAGTCGGAGGGAGCCTTACACTAGTCCTCAACGGCCTATGCTTTCTTGTGTACTCTACCAGATCCTCAACCACTCCAGGATAGTATCCATCAAAAGCCATCAGCATTTTCTTATATGCACTGCCCCCCTCGCTTTTAAAAAGCTCCAGCAGCCCCAGCAAATCCTTGTACTTTGTGGCTATATTCGTAGTTCTGCTTGCAATGAAGTAAAAAAACGCACTCTTGTCTATCTCTGGTACAATCATTGCAGAGAACTCCTGAATGTCCTTTCTGAGCTTTTCTTGATACACCCTGGATGTTATTTCTGCGGTCATATACGCATCGAATCTGCTGTTTTCGTGTCTGTACATCGTTTTGTGGAATGTTTTATAGCTCGCTTTTCTTGTATTGGTTAGCCTTGTATCGTTCCACAGTTTTACGTTCAGGTTATCTATTCTTTTTCCTTCTTTCTTCTTTTTTTTGTCCTTCTGTGCTACTCGGCGTATAGGACATGCCTCCAAGCCGTCCTCTTCGCTTGCTTTTCTCTTCTCTCCCACAGCTGACACAGAGCCACTATATTCCTTGCTAGATGCGTTCTCATCCACACAAGGTTGCACTATGTGCTGTAGCGGTGCTACAAGGTATTCGTTTATCATGTCGCTTATATTCTCGGAAACCTCTAGTTTTTTATCGCAGAAGAAGCTGTCCACATCTACCTCAAAACCATCAAAATCTGAGCTCTTTTCACCTACCGCTCTACCTCCTCTAGAAAGATCGGCAGTACTTTCTGCTTCATTAAAGGCGTTTATGCTTGCATAGGGCTGTGCTGTAGACTGCTGCTGCTCTCTGCCCTCTTCGCTCTGCTTTTCTGTTCTCGGCAGCTGTTCAAAGGGCATGCACCCATTCTGAGCCGAGCCATATGTGTATGGATCAATAGAAGAGAAGCCCACACTGTCTACTATACCCGACTGCCCTGATGTACTAGGCACGCCATGCATTGGATCCAAGGGATGTGCAAAAGCACTGGATTCTGCTATAAAGGGATATATCTGAACGGAATGATATTCTACAGCATTATCTGTGTTAAAACTCTGTTCACCGTATCCATTATATAGCAAACCATCTGTAGAGTCTTGGAAAAAAGAAGAAAGATGTAAGCTATCAGTGCTGTGTATATCTTGGCCCCTTGACGTGCCAGGCATATTCTGCGCCAGGCCAAAAGGATGCAGATGCACACTATTTTCGGCCATATACGGCTCAGCGCAGGCATACTGGTCTGCCATATTATCTACTGCAGCAACGCTCGCGCTATGTCCGCTTAAGAAAAAACTATTAGGAGGGGCTATGAAAGATGAAGCATAAAAACCTGCTGCCGCATCTTCTGCAGCCTGTTCTCCTACGTACGGATATACACCGGTGTATATCTCATCACTAAGGGGGTTCCCGCTGCCTCTGCACTTTGTAGCGAAGAAGGTAAGCACTATGCCTACTGCATCTAGTATTTTCTTTAGTTCCTGATTTTTCATGCTAAAAATATCATTTTTTTATTTAT